TTTTTTAAAAAAAAAAAAAAAAAAAAGAAAAAAAAGTTGGATAAGCTTCTTACTTAACCTACTCCATTTTTCTTAATTTATTTAAGGTTAAATTGTAATTTTAATTTTTAAATTATTCAAAACATAAATTTTATTATTAAAATTTCAAATTTTGTAAAATTTATGGATTTATTATAGATAAAGTTCAAATTTTAATATTATTTTAGACATAAAATTTAAATTAAATTTTAATAGATAAAATAATTTTTAAGAATTTATTCAACAGACCCAAAGTTTTGTTGGAATAATTTTGTAATTTAATGGTTTTATTTATTTATTTTAAAATCTCCCTTTCCTTCTCTCTACCCTCTTTTACAACTCATTAATGATAAATGCATTCTTCCCTTACAAGGAACGATTGCCATTAAGAAAAATCCTTCTGATAGAGACTACCTCATATGAATCAATCTACAAAAGCTATGATTTTTAGAGTTAAAGAACAAGTTCATGAACATGGGTCACGAATTTTGTTGCCGTTACTTGAAAAGAAGGCTAATAGTTCAACATTTATGTCGAAAATTATTTGGGGGTAGGAACGATCAAGTCAGATTCATACTCCACAATCGTATAATATCTTGGAGATTCAGTATGAACTAGTAGAAAGTAGAAGAAAAAGTAGTGGGAAATGGAAATCTCTGGTTTTATTTGAGATCGAGGGATGGAACTTATTTGCTTTCTTTTGGTGGGTAATCACTCTTTGAGAGCGACCGTTCAAGCGCGAACCATCACGGATTGCGTTTAATACCCCCATAAGATAAGACCCATCACCCCACCGATCGTAATCTCTTGCCGAAACTTCATTTATATCTCTCATTAGCTATGAAATTGAAGTGAAAACCTATCGTCAATACTCTCGAAGATCAAGAACAAGAAGCTACTCGTCTCAGAAACGCAAGGATTTGGTGATTTGGTGAAGGTTCTTTCCCTTTACTTTGAATGTTTACTTTTCTTCTAATCCATTTCATCAAACATTCTGGAATCGCGTTATATTACTATTAAATAACTATAACTATGAACCTGTGACTGGTTTTTGACTAAAAAGATGTCCGTCCATCTTTTAGTGTTCGTCGTTTTGCACACATACCCTTTAGAAATTTGTGTTTAGTTTGATTGTTCTGCTTATTTATATTGGAACTGTTTGCCTGGACAGCTATATCAAAGGCTGACCCATTACGTGCAACTTGGTTTTCCTAGCTGTGGAGTCGCCTAAAGTCCAAGATAGGAATAGAAAAGTCTGGCGGCTTAGCTCAAAATTCTTGACGTCAGGCTGTGGCAATCGGCTTCAGAGGCCATCTCCATTTCATTTTCTTGCATTATTGACGAAATGTCTCGAATTTGAGGTGGATTTCTATCTGTTTTGGTGTTTTTTTTTTCTGGATTCCTTAGGATTTTCTTTTTGTCAATGATTTTTATTAAATGGGATCTGGAAATGTGAGCATTAAGATTAGTTTGTATTATTGTACGTTTAGTGTAGCAAATATGAAGGCATTGCTTGTTTGTTTTTCCTGTAATTGTTTGGAAAATCCTGGTGGTGTGGAAATAAGTGAGCGCATTCCTAGGAAAACCCGAAAATTCTGTATTATTAAGAACATAACATTCTGGATAAACATATGATTTCTTTAATGGTCCTTAATCAGTGCTTGTGTTTGGTCAAAATGACTCTCTCAATTTCTTGATAGCCTGAACTATGAGATTTCTGCTTCTTTTTTGGACTAATTTTTCGAAGTTTAGATGTTCATATCTGTTTCCTGTTCTTTTTCAGTCGACAATGATTTGTTGAGCTGGTGAGGGACTGTATCAATTACCCGAACAATGGATATCAGATTCTCCTTGCTTTTCTTTGTAGTTTCTGTATCTGCTATTTGGGCTCAACACGTAGAACATGCTAGAATTGTGATCAATGCTAATGAAAAAGTTGCAGAAACTGACTATAATTTCATCTGTGCTACCATTGATTGGTGGCCTCATGATAAGTGTGATTACAACCACTGTTCATGGGGGTACTCGTCCGTCATCAATTTGGTATGAATTGTCGAAGAACATTGTGCTACTTAAGCATATTTGTTGGATTTCTATTTTCGGTAAATGACGTTTCAATTTTCTTATGCAGAACCTATCTCATCCTCTTTTTGCCAAGGCAATTCAAGGTTTGTGTCTGATCTTTGAACTGGACACTATTGATTATTTCATGCTTCAAATAGTACTGATCTTATTACTCTTCTGGAAAGCAGCTTTCCACAATTTAAGGATAAGAATAGGCGGCTCTTTGCAAGACCAGGTATTGTATGATGTCGGAAGCTTGAAAGTCCCGTGCCGTCCATTTCAAAAGATAAGCTCCGGGTTATTTGGTTTTTCTAAAGGATGTTTACACATGAATAGGTGGGATGAACTAAACCATTTATTCACCAGGACAGGGTAAGGTTTGTTCATTTTGCATCCTTATGTTCCTTACCTGTTTGCTTAAATTGTTTCGATCAAAAGTTGAATGTCCTTCTCAATCACTTACTACTTCAAGGAATCGTATGCTTATAGAGGAGTTACTTTCTTAATGCTTAGATGAAATGATATCGTACAAATGTTTTATATATAGCGGAATCGTTTGATTATGTGCTTTTGCGTCTTGCTGTTCGCTAATATCTTATTGTTTCAGAGCCATTGTGACATTTGGCTTGAATGCGCTTCATGGGAGGCACAAAATCGGTAAAATTCAGTGGGGAGGAAATTGGGACTCGAGTAATGCTCGTGATTTTATGAAATACACCATTTCTAAGGGATATGCGATAGATTCGTGGGAATTTGGTATATGTCGTCGACTGTCTACACTGTTTTTATGAAGTTTGTTACTCCAAGCTAACTTTAATAACTTCTTGCCATTGAAGGTAATGAACTGAGTGGAAGCGGTGTAGGCGCTAGTGTTGCTGCTGAACAGTACGGAAAAGACCTGATCCAACTCAGGAGCATCATCGACGAGCTGTACCGTGATTCCAGCTCAAAACCATCACTTATAGCACCGGGAGGATTCTATGAGCAGAATTGGTATGCAAAACTTCTCCAGGTTTCGGGATCAAATGTCGTCAATGTCGTCACACATCATCTGTATAACTTGGGTCCAGGTGTGCTAATATGATACCAACTTTTAGTTCACTTTTCTTTTCTTTCTTTTTAATTATACTTATCTTATGATAAAGGATTAGCTTCTTGATGATGTAGCTATAAAATTTTATAATACTCACCTTTTGCGTGTTACCGGTTGGGAAGTTAACGAGCTTTGTTTAAGTATTTTCAAAACCTGAATCCTGATTACAACATGCTTTCTGAACTCATGAATTTCTTCGTTTCGTTTTGTCTCGTCTCGTTTCATATCTTGTTTTCTGCACTCCAGGAGTTGATCCCAATCTAGTGAAAAAGATATTGGATCCCCAACACCTCAGCAGAGTATTAGAAACATTCAGTAAACTTGATCAAACCATCAAAACATATGGTCCATGGGCTTCTGCCTGGGTTGGGGAATCTGGAGGCGCCTACAACAGCGGTGGCCGTGATGTATCGAACAGATTTATCAACAGCTTTTGGTAATTTTCGGTATCAACTAGTTTTTCCAACTTCTGATTTTGTTTTCCTGAAAAATTCGTCACTTGATTCGTCACGTAGGTACCTTGATCAGTTGGGTATGGCAGCCAAGTACCGAACGAAAGTCTACTGTAGACAATCATTAATTGGTGGAAATTATGGTCTTCTAAGCACCGGCACGTTCGTACCGAATCCTGATTTTTACAGGCAAGAATATTTAGAAATCGAGATCTTCTCTTTGTTTTTCAAAGCCTTGTCTGACCCTGAAACAATCTTGTTTTAATGAATAGTGCACTTCTATGGCATCGGCTTATGGGTACTGGTGTTCTTGCTGTCAATAGTGATGCATCTCCCTTCTTGCGCTCTTATGCTCATTGCTCAAAAGAAAGGGTTAGACTTGACTACTTTTCTCTTATCTCCCTATTTGTTTGGAATCATAGCTAGAGATTAACATGAAAATCTGTGCATGAAACGTCCTGGTCTGTCTTAAGATAGATAAACTTAAATAGGCGTCGCTCTGTACGTGGTGTGTTCATATCTCGATTGTAAGTCATGGTTGATATCAACTTGTTGCAGGCTGGTATAACTGCATTGTTCATCAATTTAAGCAATCAGACACACTTTGTAGTCAGCGTTCGGAACACGTTGACTGTCGAGGTGAGAAAGATATCCAAAAGGAGCTCTTTCATGCAAGGTATTAAGAGAACAGTAAGTTGGGTTGGAAACAAGGCATCAGACTTGTCCATATCAAGAGAGGAGTATCACTTGACACCAAAAGATAGTTACCTTCAAAGCCAAACCATGGTTCTAAATGGTGTCCCATTAGAGCTAACTGAAGATGGAAGCATTCCACAACTCAACCCTGTTCTTGTTGGTGTGAATTCTCCAATACTCATAGCTCCATTGTCCATTGCTTTCATAGTGTTCCCTAATTTTGAAGCTCCAACTTGCAAATGATCTGTGAAGGCCTCAGTTTCCTTCTTCTTTGTTGCACAGTTTTCAAGTTTGTATTGTCAATCTGTAAGTTATGCATAATTTGTGTGACACTTCCTCATATTTACTAATTATATTTTCATTTACTTAATTTGTGAAAATACTTCCAAATATGATAGTAAATTTTATCCGATGGAAAAACATAATAATCTAAATAAATTTGTTTCAGATATTTTTTTAATCTTAAATTTCATATTTATTTTATTTTTATTCAGCTTTTAAATGTTTTGTTTATTCTTTTATATATTATATATGGATTAAACTAAATTACTTCCTTAATGAGAACAGGGTTTAATAGGATTTCAATATTTTTTAATTTTATACTTTTTTGTGTAATAATAATTTTTTTAAAATAATATATAATTATAAGGAACCATTCATTTTAAATTTTTATTTGATACGAGCAATTTATGTAATTTCAGTACATTATTTTGGGACATCTTTGTTTAATATATATATATATATATTTTTACAATTTAACCGAAGTATTAGGAACCAACCCCAACAAAACCAGAAGCTTCGGCATTTTTATCCATTTGATTCGTTTCTTCTCTGTCCGTCGTCTTCTTTCCACATAGATGGCGGCTCCATCGAGGTCTGAAATCCTCACGCTCTTTCGTTCCCTTCTTCGCACGGCGCGTCAATTCCCCGATTACAATATCAAAGAATACACCAAACGCCGCACCATTGATGCCTTCCGAGAAAATCAAAGCCTCTCTGACCCTTCATCCATCTCCTCCGTATTCGCTGGCGGAAAAGCTCAGCTTGAGGTTGCGAAGCGGCAGGCCCTTGTTTACTCTCTTTACGCGCCTAAGGTCAAGAGTATCATGGATGTCAACTCCTGATTTCTATTTTTCTTTTTTCATCCCGTGTCTCATGGCGCTTTCTGGTAGGTTTTTTGTGTTTCTATGTTTTTGTTGTATTTGAGATTTTTTTTGTTTTGGTGAGAATTGAACTGTAGATTGGCGTACTGTTGTTATCAACAATGAGCGAAGTTTTTCCCATCCTTTTCTGAAGTTTTCTTTACGAGCTTATTTCGGCAATCTATGTTTAGCAAGGAAATTAGGGATTTTCGTTTCGAATTTATCAAGCCTGAATCATACCATGATGGATTTATGAATTTTCTTTTCTAGGTTTTCTAATTTTTGTGCTTCTGAAGATGATGAATTCCGTTTGAATATCAAAGATTACCAGACAAGACCAGTACGAACTAGGTTTCTAATTTGGGATGTGAACGCAATTATGAAAAATAGATTGCTTTCAGTTGCTTGCATCTTGAAACCGATGTCTGGCAAAGACGCTCATGAATCAGCTGGCATACTAATATTTTCGGTACCCTATACTAGAATTTGAGTTTACAAATCTCTGGCAACTTATTTGACTTGTTTGTATCATTGAGTATGGAGAACGCTTATTTGCTTAGATTACATTAGGAAAAACTTTACATTTCAGTTTGACAGAAGCGTGTAGGCAGTTGTTTCTAGAGACAGCATCATTCAATCTTTGTTCATCATTTTGGACCCATCAGCAATCGGATCGTTCAAAATCCCATGTTTGAAAATGCATGGTTCTAATTGAAATGCGCAAACAATTGTTTGAAATGGAATTGTTCAAATGTGTTTGTATACATTGCTCGAGGTGAACAAAGCATGGACCTACGATCAGTGATCTCGTAAAAGAAAAGGGGCAGAACATCTCTTTATGGAAGCAAAAAGAAAACAAAACCAGGAAAATGGAGTAATCAAGAGATGCCTAATCATGAATGTGAGGGGTTTGAACTCTATTTTCCAAGGAGACGACGACCCCGTCGGTTAGCATCTTTAACTCGGTCACCAAGCACCTCGACATCAACTGAAGCATGATCCAGAGCAACAATCTGCCTGTAAAAAGCACCAGAGTCATCTCAATTTCTAAGGTACACCTAGTCTCTTTGTCTTTCACTTGCAAGAATCGGCACACAAGTTTTTCTGGAATACAGAAGATAGAAACTAACCTGTCAATTTCACAACCCATGTCAACAGCCATTTCCTTGAGCTCTTCCAAGATATTGCTCATGTCAGATAGTGCATCATCTTGCTTCACCTTTTCTACCTGTGTGATGTATGATTTTGAAACACAAAGCTTATGTAAGGTGAATGTTACTGCATTTTGGAAACCATGGATATACTTTTATCATGGTACACATTTGTGCAGTAACGATTTACAGATAGCAAATACAAACCTCTACTTTTTGAATTGCATTGGTAGGTTCAGCAAATGCAGCTTTTGTATTGGTCCGTCCCTTGTGATGAATCAATCCTAACTTTTCCTTCTGCTCCAAGTGGCTACCCTTTCTTCTTACCAAATCATCTATAAGACATTCTCAAACATATCAGTTTTTTGGTCCGCCCCTTGTGACAAGTTTACCGCTAGAAGATATTGTCCTGTTTGGGTTTTTTCTTTCGAGCTTGCCCTCAAGGTTTTCAAAACGTGTCTATTAGGGAGAGGTTTCCACACCTTTATAAAGAATGTTTCATTCTCCTCCCCAATTGACGTGGAATCTCACAAGAAAAGTCTGGATGATGGTAGAAAGAAAGAAGCTAACCAGAGTTCATAATAGGCCCTGATATGGGTCGAGTTTTCTTTGGCTTCCAAGTCTTGGAGAAAATTCCCCCTAGATTTCCCAGAAGTTTCTCTCCCTGATAAGCATTCATGAAAAGAATAAGAAAATGATAGTGCTTAGACTTATACTGGCAGAGTTAGCGCTAGAAATTTCAAGGCCACGAAACACCAAGATCGAATCGTTTGCATTTCAAAACGAACATACCCGACTGAGATCATAATCGATGTCAGCAGCAACCATATGAGTCCTTGTAATTTGCTCACCCTGCTGATGCAAGGAAACCAAAGTTTGGGTAGCATCCTCCCTTATCTCTTCAGCAATCTTTAGACAGCCATTCACTGCTTTTGTTGTCTCCTCAGCCTTATAAGTAGCATAATTCTCCAGCTCCTGAACAGATTGGTTTTCCAACCCTCCTAAATCCCGGAAATCGTTCTTGTACTTGTTTCTTTCTGACCAAGTTAGTGAGCTTGAAGAAGAGGGAGCATGTCCATGATCATCACCAAAAGGATTGGAGCTAAAGCTCTCTTTCACTAACGAAGGGTCTGAGGTAGTCCTTTGAGAGGTAACCGGATTCTGCTTCGCTTTAAAACCATCATCAGACTCAAGAGGGTCTGGAGTAGAACTATGTCTCCCTATCTTCAAATGAGCCTTCCTCGAACCAAACATTTTCCCAGGGACTAGAGAGAACAAAGTAGTCCAACAGGTTAAAAGTATTGAGGGAAAATCGATAGAACATTCAATTCTGTATAAAGGTGTATGAAATTTAGATTCCAGTTCAAACAAGTTCAATCAGATTGGATTAAGCGCAAGATGGATACAAAATGGATGTAAGAACAGAACAGCTGATAGCACGATAAGAAACTAAAGAGGACAAGCAAATCATGTAAAGGACAGATTCAAAAAGTGATGATCAAAATCATGTAAAGGCGACGAAGGAGGAGTTGATGATCAAAACCCAGATACAAAAAGTGAAAGTAAAACTGGAGTACCTTGAGTATTCCACGAACAGCAAGAACAGAAGTAATTTCAGCAACTCAGAAACAGAATCGCAAAATTGGAAGAAAATCAGAACCCCAGATTTTGAAGGCACGATAGAAAGAAATGGGTTGGCTCTGAACAGAAGAAGACTTGGGCAAGGAGAAAATTCTTGAAAGAGGAACTTAGCAGGAAGAAGTTGAAGGGCAAAGACTTTAGTTTACCTCTTTAACCGCTCTGATGAGCTTTCAAGGAACCTGCCTCCTGCGCTTTCAGAGCTCCAAATGTGAAAACCTTGCGCAGCGATTAACATGGAGTACAATTTTTCTTTATAAACTAAAATCAAAGTTCATATGGGGCACCGTTTTTCTTTGACAAATGCTTTTCATCGCAAAGAAAGGTTCACATTTGGGGGGAAGAGGACCAAATAGTGTTGATGGATTTGGTCAAAAGATGGTTTCCATGAATAATCTGTATAATATATGCTCACTATTATATAATTATTTGTAATTATTACCACTGGTATAATATATGTCTTCAATTATACCTCGCTTTTGTAACAGCCCACGAGGATTTCCACACTTTTAAAATGTTTCGTTGTTCTCTTCAATTGAGATCTCACAATAGTTCAGAGGACAATGTGTGGGATCACACAATCGCCCAAAGATGCAATATCTGTTTGCAGTGGGCTTAGACTGTTAGAAATGGTATCAAAGTCAGACATCGGGCTATGTGCCAATGAAAAGGCTAAGCCCAAGAGGGGTAAACACAAGGAAGATGCTGGGTCCCAAAAGGAATGGATCGAGGGGTCCCACATCAATTGGAGAAGAGAACAAGTGCCGAGGGCAAGGCCTTGATGAGGGGTGGATTGTAAGATCTCACATCAGTTAGAGAATATAACGAAACATTATTTACAAGAATGTGGAAACTTCTTCCCGAAAGATACGTTTTAAAAACCTTGAAGGGAAACCGGAAAGGAAAACATCAAAACGTCTGAACTGAATAATCCATTCATTTCACTCTGTTTCATCCAACACTGACACGGCTCCCAACAAGCCCAGCAAGGCTGCTCACCAGACTCCCACCAGTTACCCCACGTTGTTAATTGTAGGCCCTGTGAATTCGTTTTGCAGAACAAGATGAGTAGCAGTAGACAAATGAAGTAAAACATGGAATGGTTGCAAACAAAACTTCCCACATTACAAATGCATAATATTTACAACAGTGACCAGATTCTGACAAACCAAACCAACACTCTGTAATACACACAAAGTTCAAAATCATATTACTCTTGAGAAAGGGCAGCTTCAAAACCAGAGCTGCTAGGAAGTAACTGTGCAAAGCACATCTACTAAGTATTTCTGATTGCAGCTTGTTGAACAACCTATAGTCAACTCTATTCATGGAACCTACTATCTTTCTGTATCGTCTTCTACACAAGCATGCGTGTTTTCTCTGTAAGAAGCTGAATTGGCTGAGTTGTTGGTAAAAAGTTGGGGTTGCAAAGTTTTTCATTTTGGATACGACATTATCTGGGAAAACCAAGATGAAAACATAGGAGCCACTGGTTTTGCAGTCAAATTCACCAGTTCAGTACCAAAGGTTCTCAGAAAGTAAGCTGCTTCATTTAAAACGATGGAGTATGGGCAAACGGAAGAGATAGAGGTAGATGAAAAGAATTATGACAGGAGTTGAATTGATCTGTCCTTAGCCAGTATTAAGTAATATAAGATTAACATATAACTTTCAGATGTCATATTCAGTCCTCATACTTTCGATAAATCTACTTTCCTTTGGTTAACTTTTCTTAAATAAAAAGAAAAATGCTCTATTAGTAATTACTCCATAATTTTGGACACACATTTACATAATATCTATTCTTCTGCTTCAAACTAACAATTAGGACCCATTTTAAGCTTTACTGAAAGTACAAACATTCAGAGGAAATAAGATTCACGTTACAGACCAAAATGATATTTTGACCGTAATATAAATATCAATAGAAGGCATCTACCACTGCTACGTACGTGTACATAAAACCAAGTGATGACCGGTATTTAGAGATAAAGTACGAAAAACTACTGATATGATTGCATTTTCATTCCCATTTGTTAGTGCTAATTTCTTATGAGCACAAAACTCGAACCAGAACCAACTCAATGGTCAAGATAATTCTCAATATCAAAGAAATAGTAAAGCAATGCAAACCTTTGATCGACACTCTTCCACGAGCAGCTTTTGATTCATACTCCCAACTACTATATTTCGTACATACGCCTAGCAATAGAAAATGACCTACTTTGTTCTTTTAAAACCTGAAAAGTAGTAATCAATAAAAAAAAAAAAAAATTAGATATGATGCCTCAAACGGGATATAAGATTTCAAACCCAGGCATAATACCTGTGCCTCTAACTGGGCAATTCTCTGTAAAGATGCCTGTTCAATGCAAGCCCGGCGCTTGCACTCTTCTTCAAGCAAACCAGTAATTTGGTACCTTAGCTCAGCCATTTCTTGAGCAAGGTCCTCTGCTTCTTCTTTTGCTTTCAACTTCTCCTCTCTTAGCTCCTCCTGTCAACCACTAGAATGTTAAAACCTGGAGGCTTCAAACAAAAAGAATCATATTGCATAGAAAGAAAAAAAAAGACCAACAAACTCAACTAATTGGTTTCTATACGCAGGTTAAAATTAAGGAAAACCGAAGGGAGCTTCATTGAGTATCTTGCATTAGTCTGTTAGATATCAGAGACAACTGCGTTGCTATATGCATCATACCTTGAGTTGCTTTACAAGAAGTTCATAATCTTGTATCTGCTTTGCCATCACATCCATTTTGACTTCTGAATTTTCATCTGCAAATGGTGCACCTGCTAACTTCGGAAGATGATGGCCTGAGTCTTCGCCACAACTGCACATAAAATAATAATTTGTCAGTAATGGACCAAGAATTTGCATCCACTTTTGAAATGTTTCAGAAGTGTACTAATGGATTCTCTGGGACCAAATATAATAATTGTCAGTAATGGACCAAGAATTTGCATCCACTTTTGAAACGTTTCAAAAGTGTACTAATCGATTCTCTAGGACCAGATATGCAAAACACAAATCCAGATTTTGTTCTTCACTGGCAAGAAGAGTCACTGTTTAAGTAAGAAAGAAAGCAGGTACAAAGCAAACAAAAATATGATGGCCCCGACAAAAAGCAACTTCATCAGAATCATGACAACTCAAAACAACTAGTAGCCAACAAATAAAATCTGGATCCTTTATTAAATATTAGAATCCGCAAAGGCGTATCTTTTAAAAGGAAACTTCACAATAACCATAGAGAATTGTGGTGAAAAGAGACTTATTAACCAATAAATATGGTGCAGAATAAAGTTTCAAGTAATGAAAATGCAGAGGCAGAGACCATAGATTTTTAAATTTATATCACAAGTACCTAATATCAAGTAATGTTGCTAACTCGCTATCTCCGTCGTTCGAGAAACACAGAGTATTTCGTGATCTCTCCTTGTTTTCAATCAATTCCTCAATCCTTCGACAAAATGTGGAGGCATTTCTTGTCGATATATCCAGCTCTCTTTGAAGTTCCTTATTTTCCTTCTCCAGAGACTCAGTATTTTTCTTTGCATTCTGAAGCTCCCCAATTAATCGATCAATTTTATCATTTAGATGAAGAGCTTCTTCCTGGACTTTCTTATTTTCCAAGTAACATTGCTCCATGGCCGCCATATCCAATTTCATACTCTCAATTTCACATTGAGACTCCAATGTCATAGATGAAATCGACTCCTCAAGTTTTTCCATATTGGAATGTGATTCTTGTAGCTCCTTTTCCTTGTAAACTAGTTTCTGCTTCAAGAAGAGGCACTCTGAGTTCGAACGCTTCACCTCTTCCTCTAACTTGACAGCCTTTTCTTGCAAACGCTCCATATGAACTAATTTGAATTCAAGGTTCTCAACGTGATCTACAAGGTAGTTTAATTCTGCGTTCCTTGTACATAGTTGATCCTGCAGGTGATCTGTGATGAATGTTGTTGTTGAACTAAGTCAAAAAAGATTCGTAAGATTATGACATCAAGAATGGAGGATAGCACGCTGCCACATACATCGAACATGCCAGACATTCATCAATCATCGTTGTTTTAAAATCGTTAATAATTCTAAATTCAGTAATATTCTACATGTCAGCTCTTAAAGCAGAAAATATTATTGACATTAAGAAATGCCTCCAAAACTAAATACTAACTAAAAGAACAAATAATTTGATAACTTGTTGTTGCTACAACTTTAGGGGTATTAGAAGAAATTATCAAAGAGGAAGAAAGGGATGGGTCCTAAACCCCAAAATCCTAGGAGCTGATAATAACTCTTCCAATTGACTTCAATTCAGAAAGCAAGGAGCTATACAAAATCTACAGTAAACACCATCTCACAAACCTAAATATCTCTGCGTATACACACATATATACACCGATCTTTAAACCCCTATTCCAAACACAGAAAGATCTTCAAGCCCCCTATATCAAACCATGCCAGAGAGTAGTTAAAAGAAAATCACACAAATAATCTTTCTGCTCACTATAATAAATCACACCCTCAACTCTTTAAGCACTTTTCCACAAATAATGGGTTAGAAAAGAAGACTTAAGTGCTAAAAAGGATTGATATTTTCATGGTGACCGACCACCATAGTTCTAAAATTAAGGGAATATAGTCATTTGGATAACTTCCGTTGAACGGATTTGCTAGTTTTTCTGTTTTATATTTATGCATAACATCTTTAATAAATAATACAATAGTCTTTATACATTCACTATTATAAATAAAAGTTCATTTCAATAAGTTCATTGATAAAATAAACTTCTCAATTTAGCCTATAATGATTTCAACGGTTCCTCAAATGTTCATTCACAAGAGTCAAGTTTTGAAGTGATCTCAAACACGCTACATTACACAATTTCCTGTACCTATTTCCTGAGTGCAGTTTGTCAACTCCTTCTCCAATTTTTCAATGCGTAGCTTGTCTTCCTGGCGTGCTTCTGATAAAGAGTTCGCATGTAGTTCCAGCCGCTGCATCAGACAAAAATAAAAAATAATAAAGTTCATCTGAATGATAATCGAAATGTCTACATTACATATCAAGCGCTCATTTTAGATAAAGTGAGTAACCATGCAAAAGGGACATAAAGTGAATATAAAGCAATCTTGGCATCCAAAGAGATGCTTATGAGCTGAAAAAACATAAAGCATATTGAAGACTAAACATCACATTCTGCACAGTAAACGGGGGAAGAACATTTAACGTGGAACTTACCCTTATCAGTTCAAAGCTTTGTGGCCGTGAACCTATTAGTGTCTCCTTTTCTTTCTTGAGCTGCATAAGTAAAAATGACACAGATTTAACTATATATATATACATACATATGCATTAAAGGAGATAGAAAAGAACCCATCAAATTTGTCCAAATATACAGGACACATAATACTTGGGAAAATTAACTTTTTATACGGGCCACTAGAAGGATATCTTGCAGCAATCACTTCTAGTTATTTTTATTTCCAAGCCCATGTCAAGAGAGAAACTCTGAGCAAGTAGATTGAAAAGTATACCTGTCGACATCTTGACTCAATCTCTAGAAGTTCCTCTAAATCAGATGAGCTAGAGCTATTACTCCTGCGACTCAACATTGGTGAAAGAGAATCCTAGAAGAATCACAAACAGGGGCAAGTGCTGGGCATCTAAAACTACCAGAAGACATTAAAGAACATCAAATGACAACCCATATAGTAAAACATGAAACTATTTGCAACAATTGCAAAAGCAACAAATTCCCGGAAGGAAGCAAGAGTATAAAAGGGAAATAAAAATGTCAATTCAAATTTTCAAAAAAGGATCGGCAAGAAAAAGAAAATTCTACCTCCATCAATTTTCTGCTGACAAACATCACAGTTCCAATCAAAGATAAAGGATAATTCGGTTCAACTAATTCATCCCAACAAGACAAACATCCCTTAAACAAATTTCTAGAAATTTTAACCAACTCATCCATACGCGAAGTATATGGAACAATGAACAATACTTTGCTTTTATCTACCGAAAGCTTCAGAAATAGTACACGGGAAAGTACCTTCTCGAAAGCGAACTTTACCCTTCAATTGATGGTGGGTAGCTGAGGATGTCAATAATATCTTAATTTGGGATCGATTATGAAGAAATGGCTTGCAATTTGCATATGTAAGAGAGAGCTTTTGAATCGTCGAAACCCCAATGATCAAAAATTGATTTGATTTCCAATAATGGTCGGGCCGTTGCCAGCGAAAAACTGGCGGAGATTTTAATCTGTCGTGATGGTGGAATTGAATTGAATTGAATTGAATTGAATTGAATTGAATTGAATTGAACTGATTTGGGCCGGTTGAGAGTTCGAATACGGTTCAAAGGCCCAAAACATTGGAATTTACTTTCTTTTATTTCTTTTTTCCCATTAACTCTTTAATTAATTATGACGGACAATTATTTATAATAATAATAAAAAAAAAAAATCAAGTATTTGACAATATTTAATAATTAATTTTTTTCAATGAGTTTAAAACAAATTATAAAAAAAAAAGTCCGCCAATTACTTTATTACATAAAATTTTATTTTCTTTTTCTCCTCTATTTAAAACAAAAAAAAAATGTGATTAAAGTCACTCTTTAAGAAAGTATTTATACTAAAATTACATTAAAATAATTTTAATAAAAAAAAAAATTAAAACTAAACTCACACCTAAACTAGGGTGAATACATAATCATTTGCTTTAACAAATTTTTATTTATTTTTTTTGCTTTTAGATATATATTTTTTAAGAAAGTGTTTATATTAAAATAATTTTTTTTCCAGTTGGATTGGATTGAATTTTTTTAAAATAAAAAATTGAGTTCAGACCAATCGGCTACAACTCAACCCGATCAAACTCTACCATACTTTTAAAATTATTATAAATATTAAGAATATTTGATTTTTTTTGTAAAGAATGTATTATGACTTGCAAATGTTTGATATTTGAGTTTTATGAAGTTTTAACTATTAATATAACATGTATTATAAATAAATAAAATTTTAATAAATAACTAAAAAATAATTTGACAACCGAGCTCATCCCAACCCAAAAATAGAAAGTTAGATTAGATTGAGCTGTGAATTTTATTAGAATTGTTCTCATCATTAAATCAACCCATCCAAATTTTCGAGTGGTGAGCTAAAGCCTCCTAATTAATTATTTAGTTTTTAACAATAATTTTATTATTTTATTTGTAATTTAATTGTTATCCATAGTATGAAAATTCAATACCGTATGCGATTGACATACAAGAAAATTGTGTTCAAATAATAACCTAAAAAGTCTATAGTATATGGATAAGGTTGGGTGTCTTATCCTGGTAATACTATTAACACGACTCACTTTGTAATCATTATAAATTATTTAATCTAAATCGTTCATGTGAAGACATGTAAGTGGGGTATTCTATACAATGAGTTTGTATAAGACTGGACCAAAAAATATTTAATCTCTCTTTATAAATCTGTTAATTAAGAATATTAATATTTCATAAGATGATCATATGTGACTCGATCATAATCCTGAGTGAGTTATGAACTTCTGCCTATAAGGGCTTGTCTGCCTACCATTTTGGGGACTTGACCAAATAGGGAGCTGGGAACATAATATCATAAGATGAAATTCACTCTAGTTCATGGAGTTCTCTTAAGTACTGAGTTCGGGACTTGAATAATGGAGTCCCACCCTCTCATTGGTCCAAGTGGGACTTGGTTTATGATTGGATCATAAACAAATTGTTTATTAGAGAATCAATGGTACTACTTAAGGTGAAAGATGTAATTACAAGGATAAAATGGATTTTTGACCCAGCTGTAATTATGAACAATTCGTGATAGACTTGCTTGTAAAGTTATGTCAATGAACCTAACTTATCCTACAATGCATAATAGTTCAACTCTAAATCTATAGTGGAGTGACCTATAATTAATGAATGGAAATTCGTTAATTAAAGAGTTTAATTAATTAATTTTATATTAGTGTAGCTTATAATTGGTAGGTCCATAGTATCCCATCGCTCAATTTATTTGAAGATCAAAATTAATATTTAATATATTAGATATATTAAAAAGAAAAAATATATTTATTTATTTGATACAATTAAATATTATTTAATTAATTGTATTTTGATACATTAAATAAAAATATATTTAAAATTTGAATGAGATTCAAATTAATTAAATATATATTAGAATATCTTATAATATCTAAATATGATTGGTATTTATACCATAATATATTAAATATGCAAATATACTATTTTGTAAATATTTTTCAAGAGTCGGGTAAATAGGATTAAAATATACTAATCAGAGAATAAAATTATATCTCTACAAAATTCTTAAAACTATTTTTCCAATCCTTTAGGAATTTTCTTTCGAGAGGCTTTCATGCGTCTTGACCTTGTGTTCGAGTCAAAGCAAGGAAGATCTCGTGAATGTTGAAGAGTTTTTGCATGGTTGGAAAATTTCAAGGATTTGCAAGCTGCAGAGTTTTTACTCTCGTATTTATTGCTTTTATTTTAATTTATAATAAAAAATTTACCCAACCTAACATATATATACACCCCTCATAATATATGTCTCTAAGCTCAAATGGATCCTACCAAATCAACTTATTATTATTATTATTATTATTATTATTATTATTATTATTATTATTATTATTATTATTATTATTATTTCCCAAAAACAATAAAATAAACCATATGAGATGCTTTGCTATATTATCAACATTTTACAAAACAAACAACCCATGCTATTTTTTTCCTAATTATTTGGTAACAAAAAAAAAAAAAAAAAGAATAATAATAATAATAATAATATTATGATATAACCAAACCATGCCACTTGCTTGATCCCACCATATGCAAAAATTTTGAATTCATAATTACCCATTAAGAGTAATTAATTGATTAAGGTGAAAAAAAAATAATAATAATTTGGTACCCAAAATAATGTACCAATATAATTAATTTGGACATCCCCACTCCCTTTGCCCACCCACATGCAAAACTTCAACAAATTAATGAAATAATTAACTCCCTTTTCATAATGTTTAGTGCTTAATTACATGTAAACGAAGCTTAATTAAATAAAAAAAAACATCATCCAACATGCCAAAGTTTATGCCTATTTGGAGGCACCAAAAAGGTTAATTAATTAATTAATTAATTAATATTTAATTTATTAGCTACTTCCAAAATTATCTTAAATATAAAACTCAGTTCAACCAATTTAGATATATATTTTGTCTAAAAAAATTAGACATGTATTTTAATTTTTATAATTATAATTAATAATTTTAATTTTAATTTCAGAATGTTTTTTTTTTAGGTAAAATAAAAAATTTCATTAATTTGGCCCAAGATATTGAAAGGATCGTGGGTGGAGCTCTTTCCTTCTCTCATCAAAGTATGATATCTCATCATCATATATGTATGGATAGATATTGAAAATTCAAGAAAAAGAAGGCACCCAAAATGGAGATATGGGATATGACATTCAATGGCAACTCACTAAACACCCCATTTAAGCTCCATATGATTCCACTTCTTTTTTTCTTTTTCTTTTTTTTTTTCCTTTTGGCCTTCCAAAATCTTACAAATTCATGTAAATTTGGCCTCTTAGAAACAAAATTGTAACTTCGATCCCAGGTAAACTTCATAATCCACAAAATAAAAAGAAGAAAAACAACTGATGGATTCAGGTTTGTAGACTGTTGTTATCTCACAGATTATAACAAAACCATCATATTGATTCAGAAGAATATCACTTCGATTCCCAAATCCGGAAAGAATCAATGAATCATATAGAAAGGCAAAAGGGCTGTACTGTACAGTGCCCGAAGCCGCAAGCAACGAAGGTGGACCCTAATCAAATCAAACCCACTAATGGCGGCTCGTGCGATTGGCTCCCACCGACCCACCATGGCTCGATTGTGCTCAAATGGTTGCTGCTGCCCTCTTCGTCGATTGGCGCTGGGAGGTTCAGATCCAGGTAGTCTCTCAACTCCGGCTCTGGTTTTCGAATCGGTGTGGTTTGTTGTGGCAGTTTGTTTCTGGGTTCCGACCCACTTATCAAATGGGACCTCTTATGGCCGCCTAAAGCTTGGCCTGAACTAAAGATTCTGAAGCAAATTGAACATTGATGATGCTTTCTGTTCTTTTTCTCATACCCCATATGAATCTCTGGTTCCTGCTGATTTTCCATTTCATAAACTGTGGCTGTGGGCTTACTTTCAAAAGTTGGGTCGATTGAAATTTCTGTTTCGATGCTGTTTTCACTGCTTTCTGTCTTCGATGAAGCTAAGCATCCTTTGGCTTTCTTGTGGCTGGCTCTATGCCCACCAAGTGCTTGATATGAGTGAAACACCTTATGGCAAGAATTACACTGAAATTTGCTTCTCTTTACTCTGCTTTTGTAGCCTTCTGAGTTTAGTTCATTAGGTGATGATCTTTTAAACGAATTTGGCCTTAATTCCCCATTAGAAAGCTCCTGAAGCTTCCTCTGATCTGAATTGAACCTACTTGACATGAACTGAGGTGGGTTCAACTCGGTTTGATTGTTAGAACTTGACCCATATTTTTCATTGTTCTTGTTCATCTTCACAATATAAGCACTGAATTCTGAGGTTGTCCTTTCAAATTTGAGATACCCAGAATCCATTCTGCTGTGGAATTCTTTGAGTTTCACCATCTTACTTCCCATACATACAGAAGGAATTGCTTGAACAACTTTGGGGAAGTGAGTTTTTGGGAGCAAAGACTCAGCGGTGGTTGAATAAAACCCACCAACGTCTCTAGAAAGCATCATTAAACACAAAGCCACCTCTTCTTGTTCTTGATCATTGTGATCAGAAACGGATGAAGAATCAGTTTCAGCAGCCGTGTACCTTGTTTTCCTCCTAGATCTATTCCCTTGATCATCATCTGAGTGGCCCTCAAACTCCAAATTACTAGACACTCTCTCAGTTTCTATGGAGTGGCATTTCATGTGCCCAAACAGGGCCTTCCATGACTGAAAGCTCTTACCACATTCTCTGCAAAACCTGTCCTCAGCACTGAATTCAGCAAGCCTGCAAGTCTTTTTGGGATTCTTTCTTAGACTATAACCATCAGAAACGCCAGCTCCTAGAAACTTATCCACCAGTTTCATTTTCTTAAGATTCTCACCAGTTTGAGCTTGACTTTCGATCAAATGGGACCTCATGTGACCTCCCAAAGATCTCCCACAAGGGAAGCTCCTGTTGCATAACTTGCACAAGTGTTTGAACTCTCGATCACCCTCCATAAACAAGAACTAGAATTGAAGGAAGGAAGAAGCAGAAAGAGATCCAAAATCCAACCAAAACTCAGAAATAGAAAGAAAACAAAGAAGAACAAGACGACCCAGATGAAATAATCAAAGTGGGGAGCTCAAATTTAGTGAGTAAAGTAGTAAACTCCAGCTTGATCTTATCTTTTGTGTGATCTGATGACACAGAACCCATCTCAGATTTGATGAATTCTAGTCATGGAGAAAGAAGAGGATCTGATGCACAAAAAGTGGAAAAGGAATGCTTCTGTTGGGCAGTTGAAAGTTTTAAGGGATGAAAAATAAAAGAGAGAAAAATGTTCGAAGTTTGCGGAGGTGCTGCTACCTTTATTGCTAATGATGGCGATGAACAACGAAGAAAGAAAGCTAAGGTTAGGCATGGCTATGTTGAGAGGAGAAATCCATGCAAGAAACCAAAGCTAAAGAGAAGGGTAAATAGGAAGAAAGCAAACTCAAAGTCACCCACAAATCCAATGCCCCCACCCCAACCTTTGTCCTGCTTATAAGCCAATTGCTTCTATTTTTGTGTCTCTGTGTGGGCCTGTTCTTCATCATTTTTGGACTTATCTCTTCCTCTTTTTGTACCAAAATCACTGATCTCTAATGGAGCAGTTTAATATTGTTTCACAGTACGCAATTCTATCAATGTTGATTACATATCTTTACTTGGGTTTGATGGATAAGACTATTGTCAACTTGTATGCTTCAACTTGAGTCATTGGTTACGTAGTGTGGATCGATTTTATCTCATTCATGTCGTAAGCTGATATGGGTTGCACTTTTTTTAGCTCCACGTTGAGTAAATGGAAACATTTGAATCTCTAATCTCTTAAGAGCGTGTGTATTGATTAGTTGAACTATGCTTGAATTGTGTTGTAAGACTAGGTGAGGTGCATGCAAGCTAACTCGAACATGAATTATTTGTTCGTATGATTTAATCATAAACAACATCGACTAGAAAGTCAATACATCCATCCCTATTAAGATTTGTTGGACCAGTTTTTCTATTTCTGTGGGCTGAATAATCAATGTTTGCTTAGGGAACTTGAAGATGCAATATCACAAGATTGAACATGGAAAGCACAATGCCTTTAGGGATGCAAAGTGCCCATCTTTCTCTCTCTTCAAAATATACTAATTCTCTCTCCAATTAATCCTAATGTTTACACTAAAGTATCATCTAATTAGATCTTATAATCCATTTGCCTCGATTCCGCGCCGGTGTGCCTCGACATTTCTTTTTATCTCCTGCAACATGGTCACGTTGTTTACTTCTCGTTTTTAATACTGAAAACTATCTTCACAAATCAACATGCATTTTTGGAAAATTCTCGAGATGACTATGATTGTGCCATCAAACTTTTAATTCTTTTGAGTTTTTTTTAATCATCTTATCTTTCGAATGGCTATCAATTCATTTATGTATTATTCATTTGTTTAATATTTATTAGTATTTTTTTAAAATAAATTTTAGAAATATGTAAATAATTTCAATAAAAATTAATTCTCAAGGATTTACTACCAAAACTAAAATGAAATAGAGATGTTGAGCTATGTTAAAAAATTATTTTAGAGATTACAAAACAAATGTATAAATTTTAATTTTAAAAATTCATATTGGGTTAGCAAGTCCTTTGAGCTGAACGTAAATTGAAAAACCATAACTTTGTATGGTCAAATGGAATTCTTTTTCTCTTTTGCATTTTCTGAGTTTAACTCATGGGCGTACACGAGTTGACTCGAGTTGAGCAGTAGAATTCTTTTTTCAATTTGTTGGAAGGTTAATCCGAACAACTTGGATACAATTCATAATTCAACGCAACCTACTTCACAGTTAAGTTGAGTTGATCTAGGTTGTCGAGTTTTTTTCTTTAATTATTTTTTTAAAAAAATCTTACTTATCTTCGATGCATACAATGCATCATGCTTACAAATTACAAATTACAAATTACAAATGTCAAATATTCTTAATTTTTGGGTGGGTCGAATTGGTCTGATTGACCCAATAAAAAATGTCAACCCATAAATTAATCAAAAATTTTGAAGTTGACTTTAGAGTATTATATTCTTAATCATAAGGTTAAATATTCGAATTTTCGCTCCCACTTACTTACTATTTGAGTTAAAAAAGGAAGTCAAAAAATATATTTAAGCTTAGTATATATGTTTTTGTGATATTTTAGGTAACAATTCAAACTCATCATTAATAAATTTTATTTTAAAACGTATATGTTAAGAAGAGGTTTCCACACTCTTATATAAAAGATGTTTTGTTCTCTTCTCCAACCGAGGTGGGATCTCACATTTTATGTTTTTGTCTCCATATTTGTTGCGAACGGAGTTTAAATTAAATCAAATGGGTTCCTCAAAATCTACTGCACAGAAGATGAATGGTATTTGAAGTAAAGTTCCTTAGGGAAAGGAACAAAATAGCATTATTCAAAGCTCTTTAGAGTAATTGTAATTATAATGCTAAGAAGTATGGTGCCATTTTGAGCATACTTTAGTGAAAGAAAAGGAATATGGAACCATACTCAACTCATAAACTTTATTATTTGTTAGTCTAATTAACAACTCAATGGAGCATCTAAAATCAAATCATATTCAATTTCTTCAACCATGTAATTAATAATGAATGAAAACTTAGCACAGTGTGTGAGCAGAAGAATATGAATATAAATCCCCTTTCCACTTGGAAACTGAGTTAATTAGGTGTTAGGATCGATACCAATTGTTAGGATCGCACACACTCAATCAAGATGAACACAAAGAACAGAAGAGAGAAAATACAAGGAGGAATATTGAGCCAAACCACTTGTTACGATCACACACACTCAATTAGGTGTTAGGATCGATACCAATGGCTAGGATCACACACTCAATCAAGAAGAATACAAAGAACAGAAGAGAGAAAATAAAGGAGGAATATTGATTAAAGGTTTTATTATATGACTTCAAATATATACAACAGATATAATACAGAAAATGAAAAAGGTACATTTTGAGATCAGTATTTGACTATCTAATGGGTATATATATGGTTTCAATTTACTAAATATAGCTTCAAAAGATTTAAACTACAAGATATAATCTAACAAATATATCTCTATCAAATATCTTCCAAATATATATCATAATCTTTACCAAATATCTTCTAAATATGTCTCTACCATATCTAGGCATTAGGCTCACAAATGGTTGAAACTTTAATGGTTCTGTATGTTATGTTTGATTGGACAGAGCAGAGTTGTTTGGAGAGAAAAGCTCTCACAGACTGTTATCATGAAGATTTTGAGTACAGATCTTAGAGTTGGATCAGTTTCTACAAGGACAAATTCTAAATAATGAGCGAAGGGTAGCAGTTTTTTAGGTGGTGTTGCTGAAAGTTCAATGTTAAGCAAGCTTTTTAAGCTGATTGTATGAGTTTGATAGCAATTGTGGGGAGTTTGATCAATTTGTTCCAATGCGGAAGACATGCAAGTAACTTGGTTGGAAAAGGAAATGTTCAAACCAGAGAAACAAGTTTTCAATCCAAACCAAAGATTAAATTCAATTGGATCCTAAACCAAATCAGAAATTTAAACCAATTAAGATGAGTGAATGAGAAGAACATCAGTTACAAACTCAAATGCACTTGCCATGTGTAGAATGCACCATCAAAAGTGACCATTAATCACTATTAGAGTTGTGCTGATTGAGGTATACTGATTGAGTTGATGATCCGAGCAACTGGTTAGTGTTTATAGCTCGATCCAACACGACCCTTTATTTTTTTAGTTAGATTGGATTGGACTTTCAAGTTATTTTTTAATTATTAAAAAAAAAATTATACTTATCTACCATACATGTTACATTAATAACTAAAATTTCGTAAAGCTCAAATATCAAATATTCACAAGTTACATCGCATTGATTCCAAACATTAAATATTTTAATTCTTGGTAATAATCATAAAAAGGTTAGGTTGTAACACTATTTTTAGGTTATATGGATTAATGTCAACTTGTAAACCCTCAAATTTTCAATTTTTCAAATATTCAATCCAACCCAAATCGAAGTAAAGAACTAACCCAACTCAATATTCATGGTCTGGGTTGGATAGCTCAAATTGGTTGAGTTCTCGAATTATTAGAACACCCTTAAAGTTTCAGTAGTCGCTAGGTTTGCAAAAGCCCGTGAAGTTATTAAAAATTAGAGTTTTTCTACTCGAATACCAACTTGAATCTAAATACGAAGTCCTCTTATATGAAAGAACATATACCGATATAAACAGTAAATATACACACAATACAAAACAAAACATATAAAGGAAATACAACATATTGATCAATCTTGACCATATGCGGTGGAAATAATTCGGAAGGGCAAAGAAAAACTTGATAATGAGCATGCAAGGAAACTCTATGTATATCAATATATTGATATAACAGATATCGTTGATATACAATCATGCCTCAGCTAATACCCATCATGGGAAAACATAATTGAAAAACAAAACAAAACAGAACAAAACAAAAGAATAGCCACAAGATCTTACATCTACCTCTATGGAGAGATGTGAAGGGTGGCATAAAAAGCTAAAAATATATGATTCGTACTCAAAGCCCTGATCATTACAGGAATGACTAAAAAGAAACTTTCAAGTTAGCCTTATTGCCATTTCTTGGAGGAGTACTCGCTTTTGTGAAGTATTAATTACATTATTAGATTCAGCACTCTCCAGAACATCAGTCATAATTGCAGCTGCGTGGCCTAGAGGCTCCTCTATTGCCTTTTTCAACATGAAGGCCTACATACCAAAATTTAAAGTGCGCATGAAATTCTCTTACATGGACGGCTGCATGCATAACTTATCTAGGCACATCTCATACACATTATTTTAAGGAGATGTTTTTACCTGAATTGTGAACATTATTATGGAGCTTGAAGACAGTACTTTGAAGCAACTTAAACAAGTATTAAATCATGGTGCTAAATGAAACATGGTGCTAAACCTAAATTGTAAATGAAAATTTTGAGAACAAGCCTCTGTTCACAACATAAACAGATCATCAACATAGGTAGATCAAGAAAACCAGTATATCCACCAAAAGCCAAATCTGTGAAATCAAATGTTTGAAAGTGACTAGGCTTAACACATTTCAGATTCTTGGGAGAAGCATAACGATAAATGTCCTCAGTTTGTAACTGTTTTACACGTCTTCTATTCTATTCACAACACGTCATGGATTGCAACTAAAAAAATGTCATGTGCTACTTGCATTAACAATAAAAATAATATCATGCATGATTTTTTTTTTAATCACAAAATAACATCATGCATAATTTTGTTTTTAATCACAGGGAGATAATGAGGTTTTTCATGTGACTTTGCACAAGTAACTGGCTGGTAAAGATCTTCTTTCAGTGAAGAGAGATGAAAAGAGAGAAGAGCAAGACCTGTCCATGGTGGGATATGACTAGAGTACACGGGTTCTGAAACCAAGGCTCTCCATCGATTTGAACAGGCAATGCTGCACACAATTGTATCCTAATCGACTTGCCCTGTGCAAGTCTTCTAGCTCGTGAAAGACCCACCTGTTTCATATAAACAAGTTGCAACACAACTCTTAAGGATGACCCTTGTCCCTTAACCCAACTCCACGGCAACTCAGAATTGTCCCTTTACGACTAAATATGAGATCCTAACATGTGATTTAGGATTGATACATGACCTAACACTAAGAAGCTTTGCATGATTTAACCATCCATTTTCCTAGGTCCCAAATCAACAATTTTCTCCTTTTAACTTTAGTTTGTAATGATTTAATCTATGTTATATCAATTTTGTACCATTTGGTCCTTGTACTTCAAAATTTGTAATGATTTAATGAAATTTCTTAAATAGGTACATTATGGTGTTTATAAACTTAAAAAAATTAAATTTTTACAAGACAATAATTAAAATTAACATTTAACTTGATGGAATTTTTCATATTGAAATTAAGTTGTGACAAATTTTAAAATTTTAAAATAATGGGACTAAATGGTTACGTACTCAAGTCCAGAAAGTACCAGAACTAAATGGTTCGTTGCATACTAAAGTTTGGGACTTTTGTTTTTTTAACCTTAGTTCTATTAAGTCTAATAGAAATTAAGAAGTTACATGGCTACTGACTTTCAGCTTCGAGCTTAAAATTGAAGCATGCAAATCCCACCCTAATGATTTTTATTTAGAATTAAACAATAAAACTACAAAACCCACCCATAATTAAAAACCCACTAAAGTCTTAAAGCTAACCCATAAGAGAGCATAGCAGCAAAAAACATGAGAAGGCATCATTACACGTGAAGGCTGGAAATAGATTCATCCTACTTAGATCCATCCTACTTAGATCCATCAAATTTGATCTGATATTTTCAGCAAACGGCATGATAAGATGTGGGGAATCGGGAACAGGACAATTGATTTGAATTACTGCATACCTGTAGCTTTCCGAGGTGCCAGGTTCCAGATATGCTGACAACTTCCAGTTCTTTATCATGCATGGACTGCGGATCAAAATTATCAGAAGTTTCATCCTCATTATGCCAAAGATCCACACCGCCCATGTAGCTTCCAATGTTCGTAACAAGCACACCTTCTGCATCCTGTAGATATTCAAATTAAAGGTTCAATTAATCGACCTCATGTAAATGAAAATTCAGGACAAGATCATCATACACAGAAACGTATGTATTAATACGTGTGAACGAAAAATCTCCAACCCCTTAACCGTTAGAAGAATTCACACCCATACACTAAAATGTTTCATCATGCTACTGAACATTAGCCTAGAACTTTTAGTAATGAATACAGTTACAATTAAGTAATGCTTCAGAACCAATGACTTTAAAGTTAAGTTATTACCTCAGGAACCTCTACCTCTACACCATCCACCTCCACCCGAACTTGCCATGGAATATCTGCAAATGACCTATCCATTATGCTCCTGGCTCCTTCTCTTGCATATAGAACTTTGTTCATAAACTGCAGTCATGTTAATAGATTCAGCTAAGTGATATGAACAACTCAAATAGCCTAAGATCAATTACACCAAAGAAGCAACAACTAGCAAGACCTTCTGCAAATGTAGACAAATACAGAACCATAAAGATAAAAGTTTCACTTCAAATAAAAAGAAAAGATAAAGTTTAATGCATACGAGCTGATTATCTTTTTGCAACCAACACAAAACTGACTTATCCTAATTGAGAAAGCGTGCAAGCATGGGCAAGTCAACCACTAAAAAATACACGGGCAAAGTTATTGTGCTCAGAAGATATCTGTTTATGGGCATAATTTAAGAATTCGTAAAATAAATGAACAGACGTCATTCATAAAAGGAAAAAGGTATAATACAACAGAAAGAAAAATATTGAGAACCGATTATATCTCTAACAGAAGTGGTCATTTTATTCAATACATAAGTTACATAGAGAAGTATTAACAAGTGTGTATTAGATCATTGATGAATTTGCTAAAAAGTAGTGCACTTGAAGACGGGGAAGAAAAATATCAGAACTATTAATATGTACACAACTGAGCTATAGAAGTATCCGAACAAAATTATTATTGTTGGAGCTACGTAAAATTTTATGGAAATGGGGACAGAATTCTCTCCACACTCAAATCTTTCCTTTTCTGGAGGAAGAGATGTTTTCACTTCTTAAGTTGAGTTATTTTGGAATCTCTACATAATGTCCTTATATAGACCTTTTGAAACATCCTTCCTGATCATTCATGTACCAAATATTAAATAATAAATTTACTTAATACATGTACTAATCATGTCATGAATCTAATACATGTATAAACTAATGAATCCCACTCTAAAATGTATCCAATAAACTTCATTGTTTAAATTGGTCCGTGTGCACCCATTTAGTTAATGATGAATTAAGTTTACTTATCAACACCCCTCCTTAAACTTAATTCTCCTCCATTCTTCATGCTGAGTAGACGTCTTATCTTCACCATAGTCCATCCCTGCCTTTTGTTGATACCCATTTGCATCGAGTCTCGCCTGGTAGCACTCTATTCTACTTTGAGCATTCATCTTTTTCTTGTACACCCCCTTTACTTCAACGAGTTGATTTCCTTTTGGCAATTCAACCAATTGATTTTGTTTGATAGCTATTATTTCTTCATCCATGACTACTTTCCACTTCTCATCTTGTATAGCTTCTTCAAAAGTGACTTATTTAGCATCTGCTAAAAGACAAATTAAATATACTTCACTTGTCGAGTCATACAAATATTACATAGTGCGCATCCTCAGATGTCTAGGCTCGTCCTCGTCAATCACCTTCGCAAAACTTAGTAGTATAATCCATATTCGGTAGTCCATGCACCATCGCCAACTCCTTCAGGCCGCCAAAATGGAGATGACCAAACCTCTGATGCCATAATGACGAATTATCCTCTATGTCGACTTGTAGACACTTCTCCCGTCCGTTACACAAATTTAGGTTGTACATGCAATTTTTTATCATTTCGACTTGAGCTTCCAAACGCCTTTCACTATCCTTCAATTGTAGCAACCAATCTTTCATGGATATTGAGTATCCCTTCTCCATGAGTTGCCCCAATCTTAAAATGTTGCTTTTCAGATCAGATACGTAATACACATCCTCGATTGATTGAACATTCCGCATCATTTGCTTGTAAATAAAACATTGTGTCTTTGCCTTTAACGTGAATCTTTGATGCATCTTCGAACGATGCATGTCCACTTTTAACTTCTCACATCTCTTTGAGTAAGTGTTTGTACCCACACATGTGGTTGCTAGCCCCAGTATCAAGATGCCATGTTGTGTCATCGTCACAAGCAACATTTTTACGAGCAACATTTTTATAAGCAACATTCTTCAGCCCCTTTCTCAGCATTACACTCATTTGCATAGTGTCCATATTTCCCACAATTATAGCACTGGATTTGATTTGCACTTTTTTGCATAGTGCCCATGCTTGTAGCACTCGGACACTCAAATTATTTGTCTGGCTACTCTTCCACGACCACGTCCCCTACCTAGATAATTTTGTTGGCTCGAATGCCCCTTCTTCTCACAGAATCCACCTCGACTGTGGCCTCCAAAACCACGACCGTTGTTTTGACCTCCACTGCCTCGAGAGTTTTGTGTAAAACACCTTCTTTGATGGTCTCCTTGGCATGTTACGCTTCCTTCAGTGACTCATTCTTCCTCCATTCTTCCTCTTCTTACGTTGCTCATGTGCCTCTAGCGATCTAGCAAGATCATCAACAATTAGATCTACTATATCCTTCGACTCCTCAATGGCGCACATAACATTCTTAAATTTGTCAGTTAATGACCACAAAATTTTCTCCACAACCCCAACTCCCTGAGAGTTTCACCATTGCTCCTGAGTTGATTCACCACAGTTTGTACATGTGTGATGTAGTCAGATATGCCTTCCCAACTCCTTCATCTTCATCACCTCCAATTCACTACGTAGTGTTTGGAGTCGTACTTGCTTTACTTGATCGACCCCCTAAAAACTTTTTCCAACGTGTCCCATGCCTTTTTGGATGTTGTTGCACTTGCTATCTTCTCAAAATAGGACTCATCAACCACTTGGAATAATAAGTACAACGCAGTCTTGTCCTTCATCCGTGCTTGTTTTTGCATCATAATATCATTTACTGTCATGTTTTCGATTTGCTCCGATTCAATGTAACTGCCCACAACCACGTCCCACACATCTTGAGCTGAGCAAGACTCAAATCTGAATGTTCCAGTTGTTGTACGTGGCAGCGGTACACCACCCAATGACATCTTCCTAAAATTTGACATTGTCGATTCTAATACCACTGACATCTTCCTAAAATTTGACATTGTCGATTCTAATACCACTCTGTTGGAGCAACGTAAAATTTTATGGAATGGGGGACAGAATTCTCCCCACACTAAATCTATCTCTGGAGGAAGAGATGATTTCACTTCTTAAGTCGAGTTGTTTTGAAATCTCTACATAGTGTCCTTTCATAGGCCTTTTGGAACATCCTCTACCGCCATTCATGTACCAAACATTAAATACTAATCGTTATGATGATTTATCAATAATCTAATACATGAATATAACTCTAAAATGTCTCCAATCAACTTCAATTTTAAAATCTGTCTATGTGCACCATTTAATAAATGATGAATTAAGTTTACTTATCAATTATCAGACAGAAGTAAATCCTCTCAGGCTCAATAAAATGACCACCCTCCATTTTAGCTTTGTTTCTTGGCAACATAAAAATAAATTTTCATAAAAATTTCCACATTCTGGCACAAAAGAAGTAAGACACAAGTCTAATGTCCAAAATTTAATGATGCAAGATATAGAACGCAAAAAAGCAAACTGCCTTTGCTCTCTCAAAAAACTAACATACACTTTGAAAAGTTGTAATAGTAGCCATGCATGATTGCATAATGGTCAGCATGACCTATGTAATGGATTGTTTTCGAGGAGTTAAAGTTATCTGTCAAGTCTACAATTTTCATCACCTGGTTATAAAATTTTTCTGGATTTTCCTCCCGCAAATTATGTATGTCAAGGGCAACCTTCGCATCACATCCAATTCCTGCATTAGGGGACAAATTGGTAATAATGAAGTAAAAAATAAGCAAATGAAAGAAATTAGGGAAAAACACAGATGTGTGTGTTTCATTGGAGAACCCTGATGATGAGACATACAATTCCGATGTGCCCTAAAGTTGGTCTTAATGCAATCAATTATCCTAATAACAAAAAAAGGAATTACCAATAAAGCTTATTCATATACCGAGATAATTATTCATAAATTGTGGAGCTTTGAGCTGCTGTCCATGTTGATCCACTATTGCCACCTTCCAACGGTCAAGAACGGTCACTGCAGCATTTTCTACATGATGCAAGACCGTACAAAGACCTCCCTGTCTCTCCACTGAGCCCAAACCACCACCCCAGTTTAGTACTCTAGCGAGATCATTTCCTGTTCCAGCAGGAAGAATAGCAACTGGGGGAGGTGAAACAAAATTTTGTTTGTCTATACAATCTAGAACCCAACCAACAGTTCCATCGCCCCCACATACAAGAACCTTGAAGTGTGGCACCTTTCTGAATAAACAAAGACCAGATGCAGGCCCTTGTTCAGAACTCAACTCAAAAACCTGAAATATTAGCATACAGTCCATGACCATTAAACTCATGAACATCATTAACACTTGCAACGAAAATATAATTCGCAAGAGATTTAAGTTGCCCTACACATTTAAAACATTATTTTCTTTCTCATATAAAGATTTTGATAGACCAAGATATATATATATGCTCCAAGTTTCCACCAAATGCCATAAAGAAATAGAAGTTGTGTATAAGCTACACACAAAGCATGCCATCTACCACATTTATCACCAGGGACCAAACTAAGAGCACAGAGTAGTTTGAACAAATTATTCTAGGCTATAGTATACAACAGTCTACTTCTAAGTTAAAGCCTACTATAATAGAGTGGTGAAAAAGCGATACCTGGACAGGATTCAAAAGAATGTTTAACCGTTGCTTGAGAGAATCTCCACGACGGGCTCCACTTTTCTTGTTTATAAGTACTAGCAAGGGACGTGAATCTGGAGGAAACTCAATCACCTCGTATCTCAGGTTCATTCCTACTATATGGGATACATCTTTCTGATTGAATGAAGAATATTTTTTTATGTTTGGATTTGAAACATTTTTGTCATCTATATAACCATTTTGATGCTGAACCTCTGAAGTTCTGCTACCATTACAGTTTCTTTCAGTTCCATTATAACCATTAGCCGTGTGATGAGAATCAGCTGTGCTTTCAGTAGACAGACCACAAGTACTACCACTTGTTCCTGTATAAACAGATGATTTACGTCCATGTTTGTTCTTCTTCCCCTGACTCCTTATACTTGCACGCACCGAGGATGCAATCTCATTTGCTCCGTGGGTGATGGAACTCAAAAATCCACCAGAGGACGTCCTAATCGACTCCTTGACATAAAGTGGTGACAGAATCAACCTTCTAAATGAACCTAAGTCACAAATATCACCTGTTTCATTACACATACTACTATGGCAATCGACATGCACTAGACGTTGGCACCATAAGCAACACCATATTGGAGAACCACCAAGAAAAGACCCACTACATGGTTCTTCACAGTAACTGCAGAAAGAGGCTTCATCAGATTGATCAGTAATCTCAGTCCACCTAACAGCCCATTGGTGCATCACATGCTCAAAGCCGATCATAGATACACACTTGCAATCCTTTTGAGCACTAGAAGAACAGTTTAGGTGAGCTGCAGCACCACAAATGTTGCAACGGTGAATAAAACTATCTGAAGCAGCCGTAGGACCAAGAGTCTGTGAAGGGGACACAAACTTTAAGCATGCACAACAACTCAAATTCTTTCCACGAGATACAGATTCAAGAATCCAGTAGTGTGCAGCTACAGGAACTTTATTAGCTTTCTTTGGGTCTCTCTTCGACCTGGCTATAGCTTTCATCCAACTCAAATTGATATTTCTTTGCCATAGAAAGGCTGTAAGGGCTACGGTAAAAATTCCAATGATGGCAGCACTAAGGCAAGAAATAACAAAAATACGATCAGTTGGGTTCTTGCTATTCCAACTAGGGAACAACAATCCAATTTCCCAGGCCTCATCCATCCTTTTGGTCACGGATATGAAAAGAAAACCATCTAATGGCTGAAACAAGAAATTTAGCTCAAGACAAATGACAGCTTCTTACCGCCCAAATGTAGTCCAAATCAAATGATGAACCAAATCTTAATAATTTAGCCAACTTGATAATGACATTACCAATATATAGGTGGTAACTCACTATAAAATCTTTTCACATCTCAATATCACAGATGTAAACCCCCACCACATTTCCAAGGAATCAAATAAAATATTGATAGACAATCGCATACCACCTGAAAACGTGAAAGATAAACGTAAAAAAATGAAACCTCGAAAGTATGAACAGTACCATTAGAAGCAATGGAAAACAAATAGCTATCCTCTAAGTTTGAAAGTCAAGTATAATTCTATGAATATAACGAATACGAAGATCATAATAATGCTCCAGGTTTTGGATTAAGGAGAACAGGACATAGATTCAACAAGATTTACAAAGGTTAGCTCGATAACGGAATATATGAAGTATAATCAAAAGAACACCCCAACAGAGATCGATACAAAATTTTGACATAATTGAGAGATGACTAGACCGGAAATCCAATGAGACGCTTAGCAGCTAAGAATCGTAGCAAAAAAAAGGCAATAGCACAAACTATTCAAGTTCATGGCTCACTAATCGCGTTATAATGCTCATCTCAAAACAAGTACAAACCAAATTCATTTCATAAACAAGACGCAAAATCACGAAAAGCGGTGAAAATGGGCAACAGGATGAATTTAAACTTACTGAAAACAATGAATGAACAACAGGATCAAATGCCCCGATCACAGGAAAACCTAACTCGATCTTCGAATGGTACAAACGCGCTATTCCTTCAATCCTAGGAATCGAAACAAGTCCCAAATCCGAAGCTTTCGATGTCGGGAGAAAGGTTCGGATTTGAGAATTTTGAGATGGAAGTCTGGTGTTCTATCACCTTTCCTCCTTTGTTTTTTTCGTTTTTTTTTTAACCATTAATTTTCCAAATCAAATAAATTTTAGAATCTTTCTTATTTTAAATTGCCGGTTTATAAAATTAAGATTCCAACCAAAAAGAATGTTCTATATGGGCAGATAGCCACTGGACCCCACAGGGACCTTAGACGTGGCACATTTACATACGGACATGTGGATTTCACGTGGGGCTAATCTCTGTGCGAATCCCGCGGTGACTCGGCGGGCAAATTCCTGATTGTTTGGGATAACTTCTCACAAACTTCCAAAAACAAATATATAACTCTCAACTTTAAAAATACTTAAAAACTTTTTTTATTAAAAATGTTAAAATTTTATTTTAAAACATTCTAAAATTTCAAAAAAAATCCTCAAAATTAATAAGAATCAATGGGTTATTAACATTTAAAAGATTACTCTAAATAGGCTCTAAAAATATAAAATTCATAATTATAACCCTCTATCCCAACCTTCCAAAAACTAACCCAAAAAAAGTTATATTATTGTTGGGTTAAATTGTTTTTTTAAAGTGAAACTTTTTTTTTTTTAACTACCCAGTTAAAATGTGGAGATGAAAAATAAATTCTTGACCACCTACCTACTACTTTCATCTCTAAGTTTGTTGTTTATCATTACATCATGATTATTACAATAGTTTTTTTTTTTTTTTTTTGTTGGTGTTGCGTAAAATTATTTAATGTAATACTGTAGGTGTACGAGTCAAGTTTTAATATAATATAAGAATGTTAGAATACTATCCACATTATTTGAGTTTTAATTCACTCAGTTACCATGAATATAATCATCTGATTTTAGAGAAAGAACTATCGAAAAAGATATTTCTTAGAGAACTAATTTCGCAAATTAGCTATCTTTTTCAGTGTTAAAAGATATTTTATAATGTTTTCTTAAAATTAAGAGGTTTTATTCAAACAAATATTTTCTATATTTTTTTATTTGACATCATATAACATAAATATATATTTTCGTAATTTTAAATTACGATAATGAAAGGATAGAATTATTTTAAAACACAGCTCACTTTCCAAAATCAAATATTGAATTCTGGTTGAATTTGAAATGATCGGTCTATTTTTAAAAAATCATTCAAAGGCGTTGAAATAAAATATAATGGGGAAAGAGTCATTTTACTTGCTTTCTTTATTAATTATTTTTCACCCATTTTTTGTGGAATTAATTCTTCTTTATTTAGATATACAATTACAAATATTTTGGATGAATTCATCCAAGAACATTATTAAAAAAAATTAAACAGAATGGACTAAACCAAACAACAACTCCTGTTACTAATTATTCCAAAGAAAAGAAAACGTTAAATATCAAATTTGGTCCCTGCACATACCCAATCCATTAGTAGCTTCGAAAGGTAGGATCTATTTATGAGGTTATATCGAACTTGGGAGTGAAAGTTCGAGACTAAATTCCAACTTTCTACAAACTATATGGACCAAATTTGTAACTTAATCCAAAAGAACATTCTACGATCAAAGAAACCGATCTTGGAACTCAATATCAATGTGTTAAACTTCTCTTTGTTAAAAGAGCATATATCAAATCTATGGAAAAATAGGCACACAGAAAGGCATGGTACCTTTGAAATCTTCGATTGTAATTGACCAAAATAACAATGCCTCTGGAAAGACTGGATACTTGAACCAAATTGAAATGGGGATCATGCCAACAAAACAAATAGGATGATTCGGGTGCGAATTCAAAATAAACACTTGATAATATTTTTATTACTTCAGCTAAAATACTGATCAGGATTTACAATTTTTACATGTAACGCCAAATAATCTGTATTGAAATATCAGCACACTAATGTCCAGCCCAACTCTGTGCCTCCACATCTAACACTCAATTTTTTTTTTTTTTTCCCCAAATAAGAAGAGCTAAAGCTTAAATCATGAATAAAAAACCCATACAAGTACAATTAATACCTGGGTTTAGGGATGCATGGAGACTTCTGGGAAACAACTGCAATCCTTCTGCCCTCCCATTTGCAGGAACAAAGAAAAAGAAAGAAAGACAGAAGAGCATTGCAATTTCTTTTGTACATTAAGTGTGAATGGACCTATTTATATTACTCAAAATGACATTGAAGACCTAACTTGCACATATCTTATCTAATAGCCTCAATTGATTTCAAGAAGATAACTTAAAAATCATTTCTCTCTGACATTCCCATTGTATGGTTCTATTTGTGAAGCAGATTGACTATAAGTTGAAAGAAGATCGACCAGAGAAGCATTAGGGATGTAGAGATAATTGGCCGACGTGAACAAAATCAATCAATTAATAATTAAAGTGAAAGACATTGTACCCTGTCAGGAAGATTTCTAGGTATGGGAAGTGCAGTAACATATCTCTGGGGGCAAGATCTCTGAGAACTTGTGGTTACATCGGAAGATGACGAGGCCTCACCCCCATCAACTTGTCCTCGACTATGGAACTTGGCAAACCGATTGATAACGGAGAATTTCTCAAGATCCTGGCATTCCACTCTCAAATCTAAGATTGAAGCTCTCTTCTCCACTCTGCCATAGCAAAAGCAGCTTATTACCAATTTAAAACAAAAACACCTCAACGAGGCGGAACCAAATAATGTCAGTAATAAACAAAAAGTAATAGTAGCAACAGCAGACACCAAAAGCTGAAAGAAAATTGCGATTGAAAAGTGAGAAATAATGCAAGATTAGCATCATATAATCAAATCCTCTGGAAAATAAAAATAATCAAATCAAATGAAAGACATTAAAGCTACCTCAACAAATCATCTTGCATCTTCTGTGCCCGTCTCATGAAGTTCTCCAAACCTTCTATGAACTTATGATAACCAGCTTTCCCAGATACTTGAGGTCTCTCAGAAGGGCTAAAATGAACATACGAAAAAAACCAAGTATTAGTATAAAAAAAGATATGTAAACAATGTACAATCTATCGTCCTTGCATAGACATTTAAAATTTTAAGGTCAGAGAAAAATTCTTACAGATTTCTTTCTGGATGCGAAGGATTATCAGTTCCTGTGGAAGAAACTATATTACAGGCATCCCCTAATGCTAGCCTCGCAACAAAATAAGCCACACTCTCATAATGTAAGCTGGGGTCTGAAGAGAGAGTTGTAAAAGGAGGAGGACGAAGGAGTTGTTGAACTAGCTGTGTAGTCAAATTAAGCCTCCTCTTTAGTTTTATTATCAGTCCATCGTCGATCATTTCAACTTCATCTTCTTTCTGTCAAAGGATGATTGCAATAAGAATCATTTTATTAATAGATCATGCACTCTTGACTAGATCTGAGATCTGGAATAACAAACATTCAAGAAGAGCCTAGTTAAACAAATAGCATACCTTCTCAATCAGCCGGTTGGTTGTCTGAGCCCAGTCAACGTCTGCCATGCTGCAGATAGAAAACAGCAGTCAGCATACATAAGAACAAGCATTAAAAAATAATAAAATAAATAAATCAAGCACTATGCTTAATCCATGAAGTCGAGCTTCCACAAGATAAGTTTTCACAGAGGATGGAGAAAGTATTTAACAAGAACCGAATCTATAAAAACAAAAATAAATAGCATTTTGAAAATACATAAAATGATTGAGGTGTAAATCAGCAAGAAACAAAAGGTGAAAATGTCAGAAAACGTTATAACAAAACTTCAAAGCATTCCAATCCTTTACTCTTATCAATCAAAAGCTAAAGAAACCTTCAGTGAAGATGCACAGAAAACGTTCTAACAAATTTTCGAAGTGTTCCAATCCTTCACTTCTATCAATCAGAAATGCTAAAAACCTTTAGTGAAGATGCATGGATTCTTTTTTTTCTTTTTCGAGCAGTCACTTTGCACTTGCATTTCTAGTCCAATCTTATGTAGCAGTTTCTTTCAATTAACTACAAATATTTTAGTAGTATTCTTTTGAGGGTAAGAGAACAACCTTATATCCTGCAGCCTTCTAAAGCTTTGAGTGATTTCTTCATTCCATGGTAACAGTTCAGGTGCAGAGTGTTTGCGCTTTTTTGGTCTTACGGCAGACAAACTTTGATTGATGAAATCAAGTGGCAATGATTGACCAGAAGACAAATGTCTGTGTTCTATCGATGCGAGAGTTAAACTGTCCCTTGAATTATTGTGCTCACTACCATCAACAGAAGCATTTGCTTGATTCAAAGGAATTTGAGCATTGAAACCATCAGGAGGTTTTTCCACAATGAAAGGTTGATCCAAAGGCTTTATGGATGCATTTTTAGATCCAGGAAATACGGTTAAAGATTGCCCATTATTAAAGGTTCCATATTGATCAAACCAAGACGGTGCCATCTGGGGACTAATTTGAGGATGCTCGCCTCTCACACAAGATGCAATGTCACTATTAGATGATACATAGGCATCCCCTTTCTTTGATGAATAATTTACCGCTGCTGTATCTACATGTGAAATGGAACCATTGTTATGCAATGACTCTCTGACAGCATTACCGTGTCCATGCAATAAGAGTTGTCCGCCATCCATGGCAACCTGCTGAGAATCTAAACCACAATCCGGACCTTTAAATCTCTTCCCACTCCTGTTAGTTGGGTCATGATCTGCACTTTTAATGGCATGCATATGATGCAGTAAGGAGTAATGGTGTTGCGGACTAATATTTGGACGCAAAGAATGACCAAAAGTGTCAATATTTGCTCGAGTAGCCATAGAATTTGATGGAGATGCACCTAATGAGGGATGTCCAGCTGATTCCAGTCCACCTGATGCACTTGTAGCCTGCAAGGAAATTTCACTCTTCCCACCTGAAACTTGTTTGTCAGGGCTTTCTTGCATTTGTTTTTCTCCCCCAATAATATTTTGCATATTCATGGAATTTTCAACAGGGAAAATACCCTCTAGTTCCAATTTCTCTTGATTATCAGTCTTTTTTTGTCCAGAAAAATTCTTGTCTGGATTGTCCATACGCATATGAGACTTAAGCAAATCTGAGGCAGCTATTGATGG